CGTAATCTTCGTCCGACAACCCTCTGACAATATCTGTATATAAATCTGTATACAGTACTGCACGTAGGCGCGTAGCACGTCCATGAGGGCTGTTTTGGCAACCCAAGCCCAACATTATACCAAATCTGCTAATAAATTCAAAATCTGCACACTTACCTAATTACCGGCCACAATTTGTATATCCAGCTAATTGGGCCTTTTATTTTTTTGATCAAAAGTTTATTAATTTATTATGTTTATTAAATAAGATATCAGTGTGTTACAATATATCAGTATTTGAAAACATTCACCAAATGATTGTTTTTTCTTTCACTCTTGAGAACAGTGATTTATAAACAATGATCATTGGATTTCCGAGCTTTAGGAATGGTGTGAGAATAAATTTACCAATTTTGGGAACAAAATTTAGGTTCGCATCTCTGCAATCTCTCCAATGCATTCCTCCAGCGAGTCACAGTCTCCGGAGGTTCTCTCTCTTCATGCCTTCTCAAGTCGTCGGCGAAATTTCCAGTCAAATCCACCGGATCCACTTCGTAGAAGACTGTTTTGATGGTGGTGTCAAAACTATACCTCGAATGCTGAGTGATCTTCGCGAGTACCTCCAAGCACCAGGCGGAAGAGGCGTAGTTTTCTGATATCACAACGACGGCAACGTTTGACTCTCTTATAGCCTCTGCGACCTCAGGTGATATCCTCCCGTCGCTTGCCTCCTCATCTTTGTAAGTTCGAATCCGTTTTTGATCCAACGAACGGTAGAGATGACTCACAAATGTCCTACCGGTGTCCTCCCTTCTAAAACTCAGAAACACCGATGGAGAATAACCCATTGGATTACTAGATCGTGAAGGTGTGATGGATATTATGAATTTTGATCGATGGAGGAGTCGGTCAAAGGTGCAAAACTATGTAGCCCTAACATTCCAAAAGGTCAATGGATTATTATAATATGATATTGACGACGTGCAAGTGTGTAACAGGACGGCATTAGCTGGTCTTATTCATGAATTTGTATTTCAGATTTCTCCAGCTCCAAATCTTCTTTCTTGGCGACAAAGAGAGAGAGACCGATGGCTTCTTCATCCTCTTCGTCGTCTTCTATGTGGAAGTACGATGTGTTCCTAAGTTTCAGGGGAGAAGACACCCGCAAGAACATTGTCAGCCATTTGCACAAAGAACTTGTCAACAGGGGAATCGTTACCTTCAAAGATGATAAAAGGATTGAGATGGGGGACTTCATTTCAGAAGAACTCAGAATAGCCATCCAAGAATCCAGATTTGCTCTTGTGGTTCTCTCAAAGAACTATGCTTCGTCTAGGTGGTGCCTGGACGAACTCCTGATGATTATGGATCTTCACTTGAGGAAGAAGATGAAAGTCGTCCCCGTTTTCTATGGAGTTGATCCTTCTCACGTGAGACATCAGACGGGGAGTTTCACGTTGGAGAAATACCAAGACTCAGAAATGGCTAACAAGGTCTCCAGTTGGAGAGAAGCTCTTACAAGGATCGCTAGCATAGCAGGCAAAGATTCTGCAGCTTGGTAAGTTTTCACTACCAACATATATGTAAATGGTTCTGATGTGATGGTTCATAATTGTTCCGTGAATTTTCCATATGGTAGTGAAAATGAGGCCTTGATGATTGAAGAGATCGTTGAAGGCATTTCAAACCAATTGTTTGTAATGCAACCAGTAGATTTCAGTGATCTCGTTGGAATGGACTATCACATGGAACGGCTAAAACCTCTGTTGCGTATTGAATCTGAGGATGAGGTCCGTATGATAGGAATCTGGGGAATGGGAGGCATTGGCAAAACCACCATCGCCAGATCTCTCTTTAACCGGTTTTCAAGGGTATTTCCAGCTCGTTGTTTCCTTGAAAACGTTTCCAAGATTTATAGAAAGCGTGGCGTCTCGTATCTACGGGGAAAGTTCCTTTCAACCACACTCTGTCTCTCTGAGAACTCGAGCGTAGAACTTGGACACCAGGAGATCAAGGCGAGATTTTGGAACCGTAAAGTATTTGTTGTCCTTGATAATGTGGATGACATCAAACAGGTGCATGCCCTTGCTAAAGACTCTGGCTGGTTTGGTCCAGGTAGTCGAATCATCATAACAACGCGGGACAAAGGCTTACTTAATGCATGCGGAGTAAGAAATTTATATGAAGTTAAGTGCTTGGATATTGATGCTTCTCTTAAGATATTTAACCAGTTGGCTTTTGAAGGACGGTATCCTCCTTCTGACGTTTATGAAAAACTTTCAATCCGAGCGTCTTGGCTTGCTCAAGGTCTTCCAGCCGCGATTGAAGCTTACGGTTTATTTTTCCGAAGACTGACATCTGTGAAAGAGTGGGACGATGCCTTATGTAGATTCATAAGAGCTCCTGACAAAAATGTCCTGGAGATCTTGAAAACTAGCTACAATGCCTTAGAGGAAGCAGATAAAATTGTTTTTCTTCATGTAGCGTGCCTTTTTAATGGAGAACTTCTCCGGCGTGCCACTACTCTTCTTGATGATGGTGAGCTACAGGGTTGTCTGGGAGTAAAAATATTGGCTGAGAAGTCTCTTATAGAAATAACTGCTGGTGGGTATATAAAGTTGCATTCTTTGGTAGACCAAACTGCAAAAGCAATTGTGTATCAAGAATCCGCACAGAGGCCTGGGAAGCGAAGAGTTTTGTGGGATCCTTATGAAATTTATAAAGTGCTTGAACGCAAAGCGGTAAGTCCCTACAGTACTTGTGGCCCCTGTTGTGTTTTTTGTGGTTTATGGTTGTCTGTATGCTAACTGACTTTGTCGTTTTTAAATCCCACAGACAAAGGAACCAACGGAATGCATGGGGCTACACATGTGTGATTTTGATTCTGGGTTGCATCTTGGTGAGTATCCAAAATACCACCACGATACTCTCAAGTTCCTCAAGGTCTACAAGCACTTGGACCATATAAAGACCAAGCTGCAGTGCAGTAGTGACGATACATATCTACTTTCATCGAGGCTAAGGTTACTACATTGGGACGCATTTCCCCTGACAACCTTCCCTTGCCGATTCTCTCCACTATATCTTGTTGCAGTCAGTCTGCATCGCAGCAATCTCACGAGCTTCTGGAAACAATCCGTGGTAAAGGCTCTAAACAAATCAATGCTTATTCCATGCATCTTCTGGTTGTATACATTTTACCTATTCTTTGTTGTATTATGCTCAGGAGATACCAAACTTGAGAAGATTGGACGTGTCAGGCTCAGAAAATCTGGAACAACTTCCAGATCTGTCTATGGCCGGTAATTTGGAGGAGTTGATAACTCAAGGCTGCAAGAGGCTAAAGAGAATTCCAGAGTCCATCACTAACCTTACTAGGCTGACGACGCTTGATGTCTCATACTGCGATGAGCTCAATAGTTACCACATCACTATAAGGGAATTGACTGGGCAATGTCGGCAGATTGCTTTATATTTCTCTGGTGAAGAAGTGAAAACAGAATACATTAAAAACCTGGCCATTGGGGGAAACATACATATTCAGATGTTATCGCTTGACGGCAACGCAGATCACATCTGTTTTAGTACAGAGGAACCTGATGAATTGGCAAAAGAAAAGCAAGAAGCAAGTCATGATAAACAGCTGTTCCATGGTCTTGGATTGCCTATGTCGGAGGTCCATGGTGATGAATGGATGATGCAAGGGGCTCATGATCATGTCCTGCCAAAATTTCATGGATTTAATTCGATAGACATCATCAGGTTCAACTACAACAGTGATGGTGCAAGCTTCCTCTGTTATAGTCTTTCCATGTTTCCATGCCTGAAAGAGTTAAATCTGATCAACCTAAACATTGAAGTGATCCCGGATGACATATGCAGCTTGCAATGCTTAGAGAAACTGGACTGGAGCGGCAGTGATTTCGAGACATTACCAGAAACCATGAAGCAGCTTCCCAGGTTGAAATACATCAGCCTTTGTAACTGCAGAAGACTTAAAGCATTGCCAGAACTAGTTCAGTTGGAGACAGTCAAACTCTCTGGCTGTATGAACCTACAGTCATTGTTCAAATTATCTCATGCTGAACAAGACTGGGGCAGATGGCGATTGCGCGAGCTTTGGGTTGACGACTGCAACAACATTCAGTCCATTTCAGATCAGCTTGGGCGTTTTACCAAGCTATCATATGTAGATCTTAGTAGCAATGACTTTGAGACATTGCCATCAAGCATTCGAGACCTTTCCTCTTTGAGAACTCTCTGCCTTAATAAGTGCAAGAAACTCAAGTCGATAGACGGGTTCCCATTGTGCCTCAAGTATCTCTACGCACATGGCTGTGAATCCCTGGAAACTATCTCATTTCCTTTGAACCATTCTGTAAAACACCTTGATCTTAGCCACTGCTTCTGTTTAAAACAGGAAGAACATCTGATCACTCAGTTTCTTATGGAGGGACAAAATGAAGAGGTATGTTTTCTGCTTTTGTTGCAAACAGCATGAACTTGATCATCTCTTTCCTTTTTTTGATGTTGTTTTTATCCTCGAATAGGACTCACCGAGGTTCGCTTGCTTTCCTGGAACCGAAGTACCCAGTTACTTTGATAAAATAGGGACAGGGGAGTCCTATACAACTGGCTTACCCTGGCCAAGACCGAAACTGATTGGTTTTGATGGTTGTATCGTGATTGCTTGCGAGAGGGGCTTTCGTATACAATTCTCGCCACTTTCTTATGACTATGATTGGAACTATGAAAGATACTTTCATTTGTACCTTCAACCAGATCTCTTTCATTGCCGGGACAGTAGTTTGCTTAGCACTGAAGAAGAGAAAGGTGGTGAATCAGATCACTTGGTTATTATCCGCGGTATAAAGAACATTAGCAACTTAATCAACAAGTTCGGAATCCAATCAGACCTGCAACTATCCAAGGAGGTTAAGTCTCCCTCCGCAGAGATAAAGGCTTGTGGATTTAGCTTGATTTGGGAAGATGACGTGAGAGACAAGATTAAGAAAGAGCAGAACAAGACCTCTGGATTCTCTTCTCTCTTAGAATCTTAAGAGTTGGAGAACACTTCGACATTCTTTAGTTAGGTCAATCAAAACCCTTTTTTGGTTATGGGTACTAAAGTTTGGTTTAGTTACCTTCTGTGATCTCAGTTCTCTAATGACACCATCCATAAATCACACAAGTGTTGCAATAACTTCTAACAAATCTTGGCACTATTATCCAAGTTCTAACAGGTATAACAAGTCTTTCCTGTCAGTCTTATTGACTGCTGAACAACATTTTTTTTTTTTGAACAACATTAATGTGGCGAGCTATGTATGTATATAGAGATTACAGAAATACAATCAGTTACACTTTATCTGGCTCATCGACCATATCTTTGAGTGAGCTGAGAACATGATCCACATTTTAATTTTCAAAGGCAATATCTGATATGAAGGTTAGTAATCTCCATCATCTGCTCCGACATATCGTTCCAATTCTGCTATTTGATGCTTTGGAAGGCGTTCATATGCTCCAATGTAGCTTGATATTTCACGGGTACAGTTATCTTGTGACGCTTCAAGCTTACGCAATGTACTTTTCCAACTCTTTTCGTCTTTACCATATAAGAACGAACCGAGCACTTTAAGGGACAGAGGAAGACGTCCAGAAAAGTGGACAGCATTGACTGAGAACCGTTCGAAACCAATCAGAGGGTAAGTCTCGTTGAAAGCGTGATGAGAGAAGAGTTCAAGAGCTTCCTCATATCTTAGACAATCCACCTTGTAGACATAGTTTACCCCGCAGGAGGCGAGCAAATTACCGTCTCTAGATGTCACGATAACTCTACTTCCAGGACCGAGCCAATGTGCAAGCTTCACGATATCCCTAAACTGTTCATCCTCATCAACACCATCAACAACAAGTAGAACGTTTCGGTTAACAAGACTCGGTTTGATGGCATTAAAGCTGTCGTCATTGGAACAACCTGTCTTTGTGAAATATTCTCGTAAACTTGGTGAGATGCGGTTGTGATGATTGTTATTGACATTGGTCAGGAAGCAGTGGTGTTGAAAGCGTCGTGAGATGTCCTTGAAAACACATTCTGCTAGCGTCGTTTTACCGACGCCTTCCAGACCCCAAATGCCAACGGTACGGACTTGGTTTTTAGATTCTAAATCAAGCAATCCATAGATTGCCTTCTTGTGACGTTCCATCCCAACAAGACAAGAAAATGGCATTTCACTCGAGAAATTATCTGTAACATGTGGATCTCTGCCAAGTGAGGAAAAGCTTTTTGATATGTCATCATCTCTCATTATTGAAGATTGTAATCTGACGACGGACCCACTTCCAAAATCTCTTTGGCTGCTCAACGTAGCCTGAGAAATGCTGATGATTAGACTATCGAGCATCTTGGAATCATCCTCCCTGTCAGCAAAACATAATTAAGTTATGATAACTGTACAGTACTCTTGGCTCGATAGGGTTTAGTATTTTTTTTTTTTTAACGAGAAACAAAAAAAAGGCTAAGATGAGACTAACTATGTAACGTAAGTCTAGAGAAGATCACATTCATATGATAGTGTAACGTTACCAGTCGCGGGAACAAAATCTACGTGTAGTGTTTTCGAGTCGTTGGAAGGCATTACGCCAGCGATTCACTCTCTCAAAACTTTCTCTTTCTCGATGCCTAATAAAGTCGTCCGTCCATCTTCTCCGATGATACACGAGATCCACTTCGTAGAAGACTGGTTGGATGACCATGGAGCTCGCTACGATCTCCGCTAGTACCTCCAAGCACCACGCGGAAGAGGCGTAGTTCTCTGATACCACAACGACGGCTACGTTTGACTCTCTGATAGCCTTTGCCACATCAGTAGTAATCCTTGTGTTTGTAGCCGCCTCTTTGTTTTCATCTTTGTAAGTTCGAATTCCCTTTTGGTCTAACGAACGGGAGAGATGGCTAATAAAAGTTCTACCTGTGTCCTCTGCTCTGAAACTCAGGAAGACATCATACTTTGATGAGGAGAAAGATGAAGATGATGAAGAAGAAGAATCCATTATTTTGAATAGTGAATGAGATGTATGCTCATGGTAGGTAACCTAGTAAATGAGATGAAGCAAAATGTCTTGGATAATGAATGAATGGCTATTAAAAATACCTTATCATTACACTCTTTTTTTTGTGTCCGTGAACACCCAATCCTGTTAACTATTAAGGGTTGTATTGTCAAAATGGCTATTACGTTGTTTCTTCTACTTCTCCTTTGCCTTCTTGAGCATATAGTTGAACCAATAGAGAGAGACTGATGGCTTCTTCTTCGTCTACTCTCTGGAAGTACGATGTGTTCCTAAGTTTCCGGGGAGAAGACACACGCAAGAACATCGTCGGCCATCTGCACAAAGAACTCGTCAACAGGGGAATTGTTACCTTCAAAGATGATAAAAGGCTTGAGATGGGCGACTCTATTTCCCAAGAACTCAGCAGAGCCATCCAAGAATCAAGAATTGCTCTTGTGGTTCTCTCAAAGAACTATGCTACATCTAGGTGGTGCCTAAACGAGCTCCTGATGATTATGGATCTTCACTTGAGGAAGAAGATGAAAGTCGTCCCCATTTTCTATGGAGTTGATCCCTCTCACGTGAGACATCAGACAGGGAGTTTCACATTGGACAAGTACCAAGCCTCAGAAACGGCTAACAAGGTCACCAATTGGAGAGTAGCTCTCACGCAGATAGCCAGCATAGCAGGCAAGGATTCTGCAGCTTGGTAAGTCTTATACACTTATTTAACTAAAAAAATAGATGTTGATGTAAAGAACAAACAAAGTTGATAGTGCTTAGCACTAGCCCAAGACCGTAGTACCCGAGAGACCCGAAAGAAATAAGAGAACTTCTAAGTATGAAGAATAATATGGAAGAACTCTCAGAATTTAGAGAACTTTGAGTAGACACTCTTTCTTTCTTTTAAGAAAATTTTCTTATTACTTTACTTGATCAACTTCTTGTGGTGTTTACAAAAGAGGGTGAAGAGGTATTTATAGCCTTCTCCTAAACTACCTTACAAATATCTAGATTATTCTACTATAACCTCCTTACTTCTTAGATTTTTATTTTTATTCTCTAGATTTTTCTACTATAATCCCTTATATATTAAAGGAGAAACATTTGAAAAATTATAACCTCAATTTTGTAATAATTAAAAAAGACCTCATGCTTAGGTGTCATTCCATTAGGTAGTCAATTACATTCAATTGAAAAATAAGTAGTTCCACATTCGATTGTTATATGTCGCTAGATACATTCGTTAGTCAAATTATATGATATGATGATATAATATGACATTTATGATAGAATCATTTATGATAATTTCCCTAGATATAATTACAATTTTATTTTCTTTCCATAAATAAAACCTACGGAATTACCATAAATGACTAATATATATGATATGATGATATGATATGACATTTATGATAGAAGCATTTATGATTGTTTCCATAGATATAATTAATATTTTATTTTCTTTCCATAAATAAAACCTACGGAATTACCATTAATGATTCTATAATAAATATTTACAGTTTATATATCCTCTATCATTTTTCTTTAATTTTATATTATTAAAATAAATTAAACAATAAAATTAGTTATAAAATTAAACTTTAGATTTTTTTCCTATAGATTATATTTTGAATTTAAAAAAACGAGAATAAATAACTAAAACTATTAAAATTATTACGTTAAAAATTAATGATCAATAGTTTAACATTTTTATTATAAAAAGATATACATGATTTTAAAACCATATAAGTAAAAAGTATCATTCAATAATAAAACAAATATATTTACAGATTAAACCATATACCATATAACATTACATAAATATTTTAATTTCAAAAATTTCAATAAATTTTCAAGAACATTTATAAATTATAAACTTATTAAATTTTTCACATTGAAAATTTTTGTTATCAATGATTTAAATATCTTAGTTTTTTTTTAATTTTATATTTTTAAAAGATATTAAACAATCGATAATATGGTTATTTTTGGTATATACCATACAAACCGAATGGATGTGATTTTATAAAAACCATAGGATTTGGATATGATTTGATTTATAACCGATTAAACTGAAACATGTAAATATGTATATATTTATAACGACACATGAATATATATTTGTTACATGAGTTGAACTATAATTATAATTCGTAAATAACTAACAATTTCTTACAACTGAGACTTCTTATTTTGATCTTTTTGCTTTTTTAACAGTAACTAAATTGAAATAAAGATTATAAATTTGATGGACAACAATTAGTTGAAATTCTTTACAATTTTTTTTTATCTTTAAACAAACAGAGTTGTGTTCAATCGAAGACATATTGGTTTGATGAACACTAAATATGAAAGAATATAAAAACTTTTCTTTCATGCTTCTGTTTTTGTTTTTTATTTTTATTTTCAAAATTTAGTGTTTTGATATTAATTCTAGATTTGATCATTTTATTAGATGATAGAAACATTTTTGTTTTTATTCTTTTATTTAAATATATAATATTTTTTAATAACTGACTCTGTGACAATATGACTCTAAATATGATCATATTATATATTTGTATAATATATAATATGATCTCAAACTAAATAATTATGTTTTTTTGGTATAAAACTGTATAAATTGAAAATCGATGGTATATAAACCAAATCAAACTGAAGTACATATAGATTTAGAATAATAGTTATATTTTAAAAATTAAAATACCAAAAAATCGAGCCGAACCGAAACCCGATATCCGGATTGAACACCTCTAATCCGGATGAAACCAAACTAATTGTTTCATTTTCTAAAACATAATAAAAAAAATAGCTTCATCCCGCGCAAGACGCGGGTCTTATCCTAGTATCTAGATATTATTCTACTTGAGGAGGTGATGATTTTTCTAGAAAGATTCTAGAATTTTCTTAACTTTGGATTTAGTCCAATAAGATTATTGGAACCCATAATTAATCAAAGCCCAAAATCAATTTAACTTCAATACTCCCCCTTAAACTTGATTTTGTCCACCATTCCGAGCTTTGAACGGAGTATCTCGAACTGACCTTTTGGTAGTGACTTGGTAAAGATATCAACAACGTTATCCTCGCTTCGAACCTCCAATGCTTCAATTGTTCCATCAAGCACCTTCTCTCTTATGAAATGATGTTCCAATTCAATATGCTTCGTTCTTCCATGGAACACTGAATTATTGGCCAACTTGATAGCACTTTGATTATCTCCGTAGATGGTAACCGATTTATTGATTGGCTGGAACAAGTCTTCGAGGAGTCTACGAAGCCATATACATTCTTGAGCTGCGAGTGTTGAAGCTTTATACTCTGCTTCGGTAGTAGACAAGGACACCGTTGCTTGCTTCTTGCTGCTCCTTGAAATGCTTGTGTCTCCACATAAGAACACAAAGCCCGAAGTTGATTTTCGTTCATCTAAATCTCCACCAAAGTCAGCATCTGTGAAACCATGAAGAGAAACCTTGGCATTATACTTGTACATCAGTCCCATGCCAAGAGTTGTTTTCACATACTTCAATATCTTCTTTGCTGCTTCTAGGTGTGGCTTCCTTGGTTCCTGCATAAACCGACTTACAAGACCAACCGCAAAGGCAATATCTGGTCTTGTAATGGTTAAGTATAGAAGACTTCCAACAAGAGACCGATAAGGTCGAGGATTGGCTAACAAGGATCCTTCATCGCGTTTGAGCCTTATGTTAGTATCCAGTGGAGTAGAGCGTACCTTTCCTTCATGTACTCCAAACTTGTCAACAGTTCTTCTTGCATAACTTTGTTGACCGATGAATATTCCATCCTTTAGCCTTTCGACTTCTAGACCAAGAAAGTGATTCAGCTCGCCTAACTTCTTCATCTCAAACCTCACCATCATTTCCTCCTGTAGACGAGCAATTTCATCCTCGTCATTTCCAGTAATGATCATATCATCCACGTAGAGGAGAACTACTACGTGAACTCTTCCACTTCTCTTGAAGAATAGGCTTGTATCAACACTTGATGCCATAAACCCGCAAAACTGAAGAAATTGAGCAAGCTTTCCATACCAAGCTCGTGGAGCTTGTTTTAATCTGTACAAGGCCTTCTTTATCTTGCACACATGGTTAGGATGCTCTTGTGATTCAAAACCAGGTGGTTGCTCCAGAAATATTTCCTTATCAAGCTCACCATAGAGAAAAGCATTCTTCACATCTAACTGCTTTAATTTCCATCCAAAGCTTGCAGCTAAAGATAAGAGTGAACGTACCATAGTCATCTTTGCTACTGGACTGAAGGTCTCATCATAATCTTCTCCATACTTCTGAGAGAATCCCTGAGCAACCAACCTTGCTTTGTATCTATCAATGCTCCCATCCGCCTTTCGCTTTAGTCGATAAACCCATTTATAAGAAACTGGTTGAGCATCTTTGGGTTTTGGAACCAGACTCCAAGTTTCATTTTTTATGGGAGCATCAATCTCCTCATTCATTGCGGTCATCCATTCCTTAACTCTTTTTGCTTCTTCATAAGATGATGGTTCATTCATCTAGAGGAGCTTCAAAGTAACAAGAGTAAGTGGTGACGAACCTTTCATCTCTGAACCGTGCGGGTTTGACAATGTTCATTTTTGGTCGTTGATTAGCGATAGAACCATGATTCTGCTCCTCTTCTTCATCTTGGTCAGCGCTCCCCCTTTCACCTTGAGTCTCCTTTTCAAGGTTTTCATTCTCAGTTGGAACTTGAATAATGTGATCATCAATCTTGGAGGAACCTGAATCATCTTGCTCAGCTAAGACTTGAGGTGGTCCGTAGTACGATGAAACNGGTCAGCGCTCCCCCTTTCACCTTGAGTCTCCTTTTCAAGGTTTTCATTCTCAGTTGGAACTTGAATAATGTGATCATCAATCTTGGAGGAACCTGAATCATCTTGCTCAGCTAAGACTTGAGGTGGTCCGTAGTACGATGAAACTTCGTCAAAGACAACATCACGAGACACTGTATATTTATGAGTCTCTGGATCCATGCACCTCCAGCCTTTCCGTTGTTCATCGTAACCGACAAAGATACACTTCTTTGCCTTTGTTTCCAACTTTGTTCTTTGAGAGTCGAACACATGGACATAGCAGACTGATCCAAATATCCTGAGATGTTTCACCGTTGGCTTCTTCCCATGTATCATCTCGTAAGGCGACTTCATGTTGTTTGGACTAAGTGGCATCCGGTTGATGACGTAGGCTGCACATCTCATGCCTTCTGCCCATAAGGCCTTGGGCAAATTCTTATCATGTAGCCAGCTTCTGCACGTCTCGGTTAGATGTCTAATTTTTCTCTCTGCTACTCCATTTTGTTGAGGTGTATACGGACATGTATATTCTCTCTTAATCCCATTCTTTTGGCAAAAAGAGAGAAACTCCTTTGACGTGAATTCTCCTCCATTATCTGTCCTTAGAGTCTTCAGCTTCTGACCAAACTCTCCTTTCACGGTAACCTTGAATTCTTGGAATCGTTGAAATACTTCTGACTTTTCCTTCACAAAATATACCCAAGTGTACCGTGAGAAATCATCTACGAACAGCAACATGTAGCGAAACCCGGAATAGGAGAAAGTTCTTGTTGGACCCATCAAATCACTATGGACCTTCTCCAATGGACCGCTGCATCTTGAGGATGAATGATCAAATGGAAGTCTATGTGACTTTCCATATTGACAACCTTCACATATTTTTCCTCCATCTTGAATCTTCAACTTTGGAAGTCCATGAACCAAGTCTTTATTCACCATAACCTTAAACTTGGTCATATTTATGTGGTCAAGTCTTGCATGCCGGATGGAAGCACTGTCATTTGTACTCATCTTCTCCACATAAGCGTGTGATGCTGATAATACGTATACATCTTTGACGCGTGCTTCAGTGTGAACAACATCCGCCTTTAATTCTTTAATATTCCTTAAGAACTTAACATCTCTTGGGCCAAATAGAACATAGTTACCTGAGTCAACCGCATTCACCACCGAAAGAAGATTCTTCTTTACTCCAGGGACATGGTACACATTCTTGAGGGTGATCGGTTCTTTATCATCTCCTTTAATGACAACAGTCCCTTCCTTCTCAACTCGATGGATTGAATTATCGGCAGTAATAATAGCTTCTTTCCCGTCATGACGTTGAAGACTAGAAAATAACTTCTCATCTCCGGTAATATGATGGCTACAACCTGAGTCTACGACCCAGTCATTTCTCAAGTTCTTAGTTGTGGGTGTACCTGGATGTGTAGACTCCACTGTGAAACATTTTCCCCATTCTTCGTCTTCAGTATGAGTTTTTGACTCCACCATATTTGTCTCCTTCAACTTGACTCTACAATCCCTTTTGAAATGCCCAAGCTTTCCACACTGGTAGCATTTGAACTTTTTCTTATCCATGAAAGATCTTTCACTTCCATCATTGTGTCTTGAACCTCCATCTTTATTTTTCGCCTTGAAGCTTTGTTGTCTCCGAGCTACAAAGGCGTTTCCCGAGTCATCAGTGATTTTGACTCCTGACATTTGCATGGATAATGATTCTTGCGAAGCTAGCAAATTCTTAAACTTTTCCAAGGAAGGCTGTGTAGCCCATCCTTGAACTGAAGTCACAAACAGTGTATACTCAGGCCTTAGACCTCGAATAATAGACCGCTTCAACCGTGCTTCAGAAATTGATTCCTCCGGATTTAGAGTATTAATCGCAGAGCATAGGTTATTTACCTTAATGAAAAACTCTGAGATTGAAGACTCCCCCTGCTTTGCATTCGCAAGCTCATTCTCCAATAATTATAGCTTAGCCTCATTCTTCTTGTTGAATAGTTGATCTAAAGCTTGCCAAATGGAACTAGCGGAAGTACACCTTGAGACATGCTCAAATATGCTTGAAGATATGGACCTCTTCAAAGCAAACTCCGCCTTGGCATTATTTCGTGTCCACTCCTTTGTCACTTCCGGGGTTGCAGCATTTCCCTTTGGTGGTGATGTGCTATTACCACCGACGACATCCCATAAGTCCTCACTCACCAAGTATGACTCAATGCATGACTTCCATAACCGGTAGTTAGATTGGTTTAAGATTTCCATTCCCAATCCAACAACACGACCCGTTGATTCCATACTTAGAACAAACCCGAGCTCTCTTTAAAATTCGATCTTGATGAGTACAAGATTAGCTTGGCTCTGATACCATGTAAAGAACAAACAAAGTTGATAGTGCTTAGCACTAGCCCAAGACCGTAGTACCCGAGAGACCCGAAAGAAACAAGAGAACTTCTAAGTATGAAGAATAATATGGAAGAACTCTTAAAAGAATTTAGAGAACTTTAAGTACACACTTTTTCTTTCTTTTAAAAAAACTTTCTTATTACTTTACTTGTTCAACTTCTTGTGGTGTTTACAAATGAGAGGGTGAAGAGGTATTTATAGCCTCCTAAACTACCTACAAATATCTAAATTATTCTACTATAACCTCCTTACTTATAAGATTTTTATTTTTATTCTCTAGATTTTTCTACTACAATATCTAGATATTATTCTACTTAAGGAGGTGATGATTTTTCTAGAAAGATTCTAGAATTTTCTTAACTTTGGATTTAGTCCAATAAAATTATTGGAACCCATAATTAAGCAAAGCCCAAAATCAATTTAACTTCAATAGTTGATATGTACCTTATCCATGGAAACTTCCATAATTGCTCTGAAAATTTTCCATATGCTAGTGAGGATGAGGCATCGATGATTGAAGAAATTGGTGAAGACATTTCAAACCAGTTGTTAATAATGCAGCCAGTAGATTTTAGCAATATCATAGGAATGAACATTCACATGGAGGGACTGAATCCTCTTCTGAGTATGGAATCTGAGAGTGATGTTCGTATGATAGGAATCTGGGGGATGGGAGGCATTGGTAAAACCACCATTGCCAAGTGTCTCTTTGACCGGCTTTCGCGGACATTTCCAGCTCGTTGTTTCCTAGAAAACGTTTCCAAGATTTATAGAGAGCGTGGTGTCTCCTATCTAATGGAAAGGTTTCTTTCAACTACACTTGGTCTCTATGAAAACAAGAAGAAGAAGCAGAAGTTGTCAACGGGTGCAGAACTTGGACCCCATGAGGTGAAAGCAAGGCTTAGGCATCGTAAAGTCTTTCTTGTCCTTGATAATGTTGATGACATGAAACAGATGCATGCCCTTGCTCAAGACACGAGCTGGTTTGGTCCAGGCAGTCGAGTAATCATCACAACAAGGGACAAGGGCTTGCTCAACTCATACGGAGTTACAACTGTATATGATGTCAAGTGTTTGGATACCGATGATTCTCGTAAAATATTTAACCAGTTAGCGTTTGAAGGAGGACTTCCTCCTTGTGACTATTATGATAAGTTGTCAATCCGAGCATCTAGGATTGCTGAAGGTCTTCCGTCTGCTCTTGAAGCTTACGGTTTATTTTTCCGAAGAATGTTATCTCTCAAGGAGTGGGAAGATGCATTGTGTAGATTTGAAAGAACTCCTCATACAAATGTAGCAGATGTCTTGAAAATTAGCTACGACAGCTTGGAGGAAGCAGATAAGAGAGTTTTACTTCATGTAGCATGCCTCTTTACTGGAGAACCTCTCCAGCGTGCCATTAACTTTCTCAATGATGATGAACTACAGGGTCGTCTAGCACTAAGAATCCTAGCTGACAAGTCTCTCATTGAGATAACAGAGGGTGGGTGTATAAAGATGCACTACTTGGTACAGCAAACGGCAAGAGAAATTGAATGTCAAGAATCCATGTGGAGGTCTAGGGGAAAAAGAGTTTTATGGGACCCTACCGAAATTTATGAAATGCTGAGACTTAACAGGGTAATTAAGTCTTGTATAATCCTATATTTTATCCATGCTGAAATGTATATATATATATATATGCTAACTTAAAATTTTCATTGTCAATACCACAGTACGATGAATCAGTGGGATGCATGTCTCTACACATGTGCAAGATGCCTGATGAGTTGTATCTGGATGGGCATGAGAATAAGAACTACAATAACCTCAAATTCCTCAAGGTTTACAGGCACATGGACCATATTGAGCCCATGCTGCATTTCAAGAATGACAATACAGAGTTACTTTCATCTCGGTTGCTCAGGTTACTACATTGGGATGCGTTTCCCTTGACAGCCTTCCCTGACGGACTTGATGCAAGTAGTCTTTTCGAAGTTATTTTACGTCACAGCAATCTCACAAGCCTCTGGAAATCCATGGTAAAAGATCTACAACGATGCTTCTGATGTAACGTTTACTCCTACAACATTTTTAACAATGTCTTTCTTGAATTATGAACAGAAGTTACTACAGTTGAGAAGATTAGACTTGACAGGCTCTAGATATTTGGAACAACTTCCAGATCTTTCCATGGCCGTAAATTTGGAGGAGCTGATAACTCAAGGCTGCAAGAGGCTAAAGAGAATTCCAGAGTCTATCTGTTACCGTAAAAGACTGCGGAAGCTTGATGTCTCATTCTGTGATGAGCTCAATAGTTACCACATCACTATAAGGGAACTGAACGGCCGCCACCATCAGCAGATTGTTTTGTATTTTTCTCGTTTTAACAGGAGATCGTATTCCATTGCAAAACTATCCATTGCAAATCTATCCATTGGAGGAACCATACAAATTGAGATGTTATCGCTTGAGGGCAACGTCGACCACCTCTGTTTTAGTACTGATAAACAAGCAACTAGTGACTGGACAAAAAGGGACGAGCTAGGTCTAAACTCTTTTAAATCGTTTATTAGGAGATGGTCAGAAGACATGGCCATGTCAGAGTTTCATGTTCATGGACCGGTGAAGAAAGCAGAGCAGATTTTTCGACCCACATTCCATGGATTTAGTTCATTAGATATCATCAGGTTCAACTACAAGAGCGATGGTGCTAGTTTCCTCTGCTATAGCCTCTCCATGTTCCCATGCTTGAAAGAGTTAAACCTAATCAACCTAAACATCAAAGTGATCCCAGATGACATATGCACCTTGCAATCCCTAGAGAAACTTGACTGGAGCGGCAATGACTTCGAGACTTTACCAGAAACCATGAAGCAACTTCAGAGACTGAAATACGTCAGCCTCTGTAACTGCTTCAGACTCAAAGCATTGCCAGAGCTAGTTCAGGTAGAGACCATCAAACTCTCTGGGTGTATGAACCTTTTGTTGGAGATGTCTCATACTGAGCAAGATTGCAGAAGATTCCAATGGCTTGAGCTTTGGCTAGACGGCTGCAAGAACATTCAGTCAATATCAAACCATCTTAGATATTTTGTAAGTCTATCATATTTAGATCTTAGCAGTCATGAGTTTGAGACATTGCCGTCAAGCATCAAAGACCTTTCCTCTTTGGGAACTCTCTGCCTCAATAAGTGCAAGAAACTCAAGTCGATACAAGGAGTTCCATTGTCTCTCAAGTATCTATACGCTCATGGCTGTGAATCACTCGAAACTGTTTCCCTTCCTTTGAACCATTCTATTAAACACCTTGATCTAAGCCATTGCTTCTGTTTAAAACAAAACGAGCATCTGGTCACTCAGTTTCTTAAGGATGGACACGGCGAAGAGGTATGTTGTTTAAAGCTTTTTGTACATTTGCTCCATAAGTTTGATAATTATATATTTTCTTGATGAATAGGAGTCACCGAGATTCGCTTGCTTTCCTACGACCAAAGTGCCTAGTTACTTCGATGTTACAGAGACAGGGAAGTCCATAACAGTTCAAATCTTGCCATCCCCGAAAGTTCTAGGTTTTGATGCGTGTGTCATGCTTACTTGCGGGAGGCTCTTTCGTATGCAGTTTTCGCCATTTTCGTATAGTTGGAGTTGGGAAGTTGACAGTATCTTTCAGTTGGAGCTTAAACAAGATCTCTTTCATTCTCATGAGAGTAGTTTCAATAGTGTTAAGTCAGATCACCTGTTTATCTTCAGGGGGTCAAAAACCCTAGGCGAAGAAATCGAGAATTTCAGCTTAATATCTGATCTGAAAATCTCAGATGAGTTTAAGTTTCCCCCAGCAGAGATAAAATCATGTGGAGTTCGCTTGGTTCTTGAAGCTGGACAAACAGATAAGATCAACCTGGAGAAGATGATGACCTCTCAACTCTCTTTTTCTTAACTGTGAAGAACTATTCCTTTGATTAATTATGAGCTTATATATCCAACCTAATCTCTATCGTGGATCGGAGATTGAGGAAGAAGAGACGGTTCGATCGCGTCACCTGGTTATCATCCACATGGCGAGTTGCGTAAACACGGAGAGGATTGAAGAGCTGAGAGTCGAGTCCCATCTTCAGTTTACAGATGAGTTTCGGTTTCCACCCGACGATTTAAAGAGCTTGTAGAATTCGCATGATTAACGAAGACTGATCGTCGATAGGTTACGGTTTAGGCCTTGTCCGGTTATATTCATTACCGTATCACATGGTTATTCTTTTAGTTGTTCGGTTAAATTTGGTTGTTTTATAGCATTTCAAACTTATTCTATAATTTACTATAAAATAGAATAAAAAATGAAATAATGAAGAAATCAAAAAATTGTTATTTCAATTATAGGAAAATTACCTTTTTATTTTTCATCATTCCATTTTTCACTTTATCTCAAAGTAAAATATGGAATAGGATCGAAAATACTTTGAGAAACGGTTTATTTTTGGTACAGTTCGATTGTGTTTTATAATTTTGTTGATGCTGATTAAATTCGATTGAGTTTTGAATTGTTTTACAAATCAGACCAGATAGAATTATAGAAATTCAGCTTTTTCGATTTAAATTTGGTTTGGATCTCAGATTAGTTACAAATGCTAATCCCTTATCAACAAGTTTTGCATTTGTGTGCTTTCAGTAGCTCTGTAGAGACCTGGCAAGAAAGTTACATACAAATTCAAAAGAGACAGTTCGTAGTTAAACATGTGAAACCATACATCATGATTCTTGACAACGCTTAATAAACCCATTTGATTTTATTAAATCTTTTTCGTTGATTCACCTGACTCCTCATTTGCTTTTGAGTCGCTTTTCTTCATTATTTCCATTATATTTTATTGGAGTATGATTCCTATATCAATTAGGAATCATATAAACTAGATTTAGATAAGCTTTAATATGTTTTTCCTATTCTATTTAGGTTCTTTATGATTTTCCTGTTATGACTTAGCTTATCTTGGTATATAAACCAAGCTTATTCATCAATAAAATCAACTTACTTTTGATCCTAAACAAGAATTTGTCATGGTATCAGNTATTGGAGTATGATTCCTATATCAATTAGGAATCATATAAACTAGATTTAGATAAGCTTTAATATGTTTTTCCTATTCTATTTAGGTTCTTTATGATTTTCCTGTTATGACTTAGCTTATCTTGGTATATAAACCAAGCTTATTCATCAATAAAATCAACTTACTTTTGATCCTAAACAAGAATTTGTCATGGTATCAGAGCAAGAACAAAACTAAATACATCAATTTCTAATCATTCCTGTTGATCTTACGAAAAGCGTAGTTCAACTTATTCATTCAAATCCTCTGTTTTTGATATAAAGAAAACAGAGTTCTTCATAATCTAAAAAGATGTCGATTACTTCTTCAACAAGTGATCGAAAATACAAGACTATTTCTCCATATGATTTATCATCTAATGATAATCCAGGCGCAGTCATATCTCAGCCTCTTCTCAACGGAACTAATTACGACGAATGGGCAATCAACTTTCGTATGGCCATAAGCTCACGAAAGAAATTTGGTTTTCTTGATGGCAGTCTTCCTAAACCAGAAGCTGATTCACCTTATCTTGAAGATTGGATAGCAAATAATCACCTCATCGTTGGCTGGATAAAACTAACCATCGAACCAAAGATCAGATCATCAATTTCAACTCGAGAAATCGCAAAAGAACTATGGGAAATAATCCGGAAAAGATATTCAGTCAAGAGCGGAGCACGACTTCAGCAGTTACGTAATTCTTTAGCAAATTGCAGACAAAACGGCTCTACTGTTGATGAGTATTTTGGACGCTTAACCAAAATCTGGGATGGGATTGCTGATTGCATGATCTCCAAGCAATGCAATTGTGGCAAGTGCGAATGTGATCTTAATACGGCTAGGGAAAAGGAAACAGAAACCCTACGTATCCATGACTTCTTGTCAGGACTTGACGATGCTACTCATGGAATAATACGATCACAGATTTGTGCTATATCTCCTTTACCAGATCTTGATAGCGTATACCAAACCGTTTCACAGAATGAGATCATCCAAGCTCGATCAAATACAACACCAGATACACCTATAATGGGATTTGCATCTCAAGCTCGATCAACAACCAACTCTTTCAGACCTAATGCAACAACAACAAGACCAGGGAATAAAGATCCCACTCGGCAGTGTACGGTGTGTGGTCGGACAGGACACGAAGCTTCAGGCTGTTTTACTGTGATTGGATATCCTGACTGGTGGGAAGATCGGCCTAAGAACAGAGCTCCTAACCGCAACCTACAAAATAAAACAACTCAACCAAAGGCAAACACAGCTACGGTTGCAAGACCAGAAACACAGAAGTTACAAACAAACGTGGTTATCACTGAGGCTGATCGTATGGGACTCACAGGAATCACTGATGAACAATGGAGTATTGTTCATAAACTAATCAATAAAGGAACGACCAGTCACGAACATCTGAAAGGTAAAGAAGATGGATGTGTTTGGATCATGGATACTGGTGCAACACATCACATGACAGGATGTCTTGATAAGATGACAGACATCCGTGATATTACTCCCATACCGGTTCTACTGCCGCTCGGTTCAGAAGCAATGGCTTCCAAGCAAGGAACAGTTCAATTAACATCTACTTTACACATTCATAATGTGTATTACGTGGATGGATTCCATACAAATTTGATTTCTTTTGGCCAACTAGTAACAGATAATTTCCTTGTTGGACAAGTAACTGATAAACTTATGATATTGCAGGACCGTACCTCGAGGATGCTGATTGGTGCGGGTGAAAGAGAAGGAGAGGGATTGTACCGTTTTCGAGGGATCGAAGCTTTGACGTCACTTCAGAGTACTATTTCCGAGGATTCAGTATTATGGCATCGCCGTCTTGGTCATCCGTCTTCTCGCATTACGGGCATAGTTTCTACTTCTGAGAATTCATCTTCACAAAGTGATCTTATTAAGAATTGTGATATATGTTTTAGAGCAAAACAAACTCGTCAGAGTTTTTCAGATAGTTTTCATAATGCAAAAGAAAGCTTTGATTTGATACATTGTGATCTTTGGGGTCCATATAGAACCACAACACTTTGTGGATCTCGTTACTTTCTAACTATCGTCGATGACCATTCCAGAGCTGTGTGGTTGTATCTCCTGCCTAATAAGACTGTCGTGGCTCAACAACTAAAAGATTTCATGGCCCTAATTGAAAGGCAATATGGGAAGAAGATCAAAACTATAAGAAGTGATAATGGAACAGAGTTTATGTGTCTTACACAGTATCTTAAAGAAAAAGGTATTATTCATGAGACGTCTTGTGTTCATACACCGCAACAGAACGGACGAGCTGAGCGGAAGCATAGGCACATCCTCAATGTAGCACGAGCTCTACGATTTCAAGCCAATTTACCGATAGAATTTTGGGGGGAGTGTGTGTTAACAGCAGCACATGTGATTAATCGTACACCTTCGCCATTACTAAAGATGAAAACCCCATATGAGCTTCTTCATGGAGAACCTCCTACGATCACACATCTGCGGGTTCTTGGTTGTCTAGCATACGCTCACAACAAGAATACCAAAGGTGATAAATTTTCTTCGCGAAGCAGACGGTGTGTTCTTATCGGATATCCCTCAGGCACTAAAGGATGGAAACTTTTCGACCTTGAACAAGAAGTCGTATTAATTTCCAGAGACGTCACATTCCAAGAAAATGTCTTTCCATATCATAATGACAAATCTACGGAGGCAATCGAGCTACCACTTCCTATCAGAATATCTCCATCGGATGATGAAGATGTGACTGATTTACCTTCTATCGAAGAAACTACTGAGCCTTCCTCTATTACGTCTTCAGAAAATACAGCAGTTGCAGCAACAGAAACAGAGCATATTACGACTGAAACAGAACAAGAGCCTCTCGGAAGAGGTCATAGAACACGTATTCCATCATCTCGTTATCGTGACTTTGTCCTCAACACGGTTACTGCAATCCCTCCTCTCACTCCCTCTCACCCGTCATCAACACCTCAGCCATCCTCAGGTTCGCTCTTTCCTTTATCTGAGTATTTATCATATGATCGTATTGCTCCAAAGCATTGCAGTTACCTCATTGCATTAGCAAGCAACATCGAACCAAGAAGCTTTAAAGAAGCAATGAAACACAAGGTATGGAGAGATTCTATGAAATCAGAGATGGATGCTCTTGAAAGGCAGCATACGTGGGACCTTCAGGAGTTACCACAAGGTAAAAAGGCTCTTGGAACAAAGTGGGTTCATACAATTAAACTTCGAGCTGATGGTACGATTGAACGTCACAAGTCTCGTCTCGTAGTTTTGGGAAATAATCAAAAAGAAGGCTTGGACTACACGGAAACATTTTCACCCGTGGCCAAGATGATAACGGTTCGTTTGTTCCTTGATCTAGCTGCGAAGAATAATCATGAGATTCACCAGATGGATGTTCATAACGCCTTCCTTCATGGAGATCTCCAAGAAGAGGTTTATATTAAGGTACCTCTTGGTTTTGCAAATCCAAATGATACGCGGGTCTGCAGATTGAGGAAATCACTTTACGGTCTCAAGCAAGCACCGCGATGTTGGTTTGCGAAACTAGCCGACGCTCTTCTCAAATATGGCTTTTCTCAAACTCATTCCGACCATACTCTGTTTATATACTCCAGAAACAATATTTCTTTGATGATTCTGGTATATGTAGATGACCTCATTATCTCAGGCAACACAAACTCCGAAGTCGACTCATTCAAAGCATACTTGTCAACATGCTTCCACATGAAGGATCTTGGCACGCTCAAATACTTTCTTGGCTTGGAAGTAGCACGCAGTTCACAAGGTATCTACTTATGTCAACGAAAATACACGCTGGAAATTATAACAGAATGTGGTTTACTCGGGTGTCGGCCAGCTGGGTCACCGATGGATCAAAATCACAAGTTAAGCTCAGCTCAGGGGGATTTTCTTGACAATCCTGAACGATATAGAAGACTAACTGGCCGCCTGATTTATCTACTTGCAACACGTCCCGATCTTGCATATTCAGTTCATATTTTATCACAATTCATGCAAAAACCCAGAGAAGAGCATTGGTCTGCGGCTCTAAAGACGGTTCGATATCTGAAGGGAACAGTCGGCCAGGGCATCCTTCTTCGGGCCAATACTACGTTTTCCATCACTGGTTGGTGCGATGCGGACTGGGGAGCATGCCCTATTACCCATCGCTCTTTAACTGGTTGGATTATTCAAATTGGGACCTCTCCTATTGCTTGGAAAACAACAAAACAAGATGCTGTTTCGTTGTCATCAACTGAGGCGGAGTTCCGGGCAATGAAAGCAATTACGCAGGAACTCATTTGGTTGAAAGAGCTTCTTCGAGAGATAGGAATCAAGCACAATGAACCAATGACCATCTGTTGTGATAACAAATCGGCCTTACACATCAGCGCAAATCCAGTTCTTCATAAAAAGACTAAGCATATGGGGATCATCTGTCAATTCGTTCGGGATGAGATCAATAAAGGCGTCATCAGAACTACTTATGTCTCAACACATGATCAACTTGCAGACATATTCACAAAAGCTTTGGGACGAAAGGAATTCGATTCATTTCTTCTCAAGTTAGGCATTAACAATATTCATGCTCCAACTTGAGGGGGGGTATTGGAGTATGATTCCTATATCAATTAGGAATCATATAAACTAGATTTAGATAAGCTTTAATATGTTTTTCCTATTCTATTTAGGTTCTTTATGATTTTCCTGTTATGACTTAGCTTATCTTGGTATATAAACCAAGCTTATTCATCAATAAAATCAACTTACTTTTGATCCTAAACAAGAATTTGTCANAGGGGGGGTATTGGAGTATGATTCCTATATCAATTAGGAATCATATAAACTAGATTTAGATAAGCTTTAATATGTTTTTCCTATTCTATTTAGGTTCTTTATGATTTTCCTGTTATGACTTAGCTTATCTTGGTATATAAACCAAGCTTATTCATCAATAAAATCAACTTACTTTTGATCCTAAACAAGAATTTGTCATATTTTTCTCTTGGTCACCTTCGAGTTTCTGCAGCTCCTCCTCCCAAGTCCTTTCATCCTTGCCATGTAAAGATGAACCGAGGATTGTAAGAGCCAGAGGAAGGAAACAGGCAACCTGGACAGCACGAAGAGCGAGTGATTCAAAACTAGTAGGAGGGTGTTGCTGGTCGAAAGCATATCGGCAAAAGAGTTGGAGAGCTTCATCGTATCTCAGAGACTGGAGTTCATAGACATGCTCCACACCAACTTCTTCTAACAAACTCTTTTCTTGTGTAACAAAGATGACTCTGCTCCCTGAACCAAACCAGCCAACGATCTCTGCTATGTCCTTCAACTGTTGGAGGTTATCCACGGAATCAATAACAAGCAGACCTCTTCTCTGTCCAAGCTCCGATTTGATGACATCAGTTTGAGCTTCTCCTTGAATCTCTCTCGATGTGAATGTTTCTTGATGGTCTTGGTGATAGTTCTTTTCGGAGTTGTCAACAAACATATGGACATGGAAACTGACAGACATTTCTTCGTATGCATATCTCGCTAGTGTCGTCTTGCCAACGCCTCCTGGGCCACATATCCCGACCAAGCGAACTTCCTTGTCGTAATTTAAATCCAGCAACTCATATAATGCATGCATATGACGATCCATTGCGACAGGTCCATCTGCTTTGAATGTTGATGGACTAATTGGCTTATTTGAAATAACAAGTAATATTTCACTTGTAATCAAATTGACCATCTCTCCTTCGTTGCTCCTGTGATTGAATAAAAATAAAAATACCATGAAACAAAGCATTTCCTTGCTAATTTTTTGAATTGGAAAGTCTGATACATTCAAATTTTGACATGGTATTTATATCATCTTATGTTGAGTCAGTATGTGGATGATATTGTTCCCATAATTAACAGTGCTTAGTGTGATAAAGTGTGTTAACGAATGAAAGTTTGCATGGGCAGGCTCTGTCATCTATATATATTGTTGTTATAAAAAAACATTTACCAAAAACGTGAATCCAGGCCGGATATACCGGTGAGTTTGGTAAGAGCCCTCCTCCATGATTGAACTTTCTCAGCTGAATACTCTTCACCAAGTTTTCTGAAAGGTTCTGCGTATTCTCCCGTCTGTTTCCTTATATTCGTAATTTCCACTCCATAGAAGATGAGTAGGACTGGAAGTTGACCTTCGTCGTGCAAGCTTATTATCGTTTGAAGCTCGTTCAGGCACAAAACAGAGGTTGGATAGCTTTCGGAGACCACCACAACGGCTAGTTTTGAATAACTAATACATTTGCTTAGGTCATAACCGGAAGATGAAACGCCCTCCTCTAGCTTGTCATCTCTGTAGTAAGTTGGAATGCCTTTTTCAGATAACAAACAGTAGAGATCTGTTGCAAAAGATTTGGCGGTGTCTTCTTCTGCGCTGAAACTTAGGAAGACATCAAACTTGGGAATAAAAGATGAAGAAGAGGCAGACATTTAGCAACGTGGTTGAGATTACTACGGAGATCTCAAAGGAAGAAGAGACTCAGTTTCGAGCAGACATGAAAAGTCCAACTAGTAATCGTTGTTTTCTAAATTAAATTTCAGATTGCTGTTTAATTCCAAATAGTTTAGATAAAGGTGAATACGACGTTTGTGGCTTTGTATAATTGTTATAAGTCTACAGAGAACGTAAAATCAACAAAAGGTTGCTATATTATCCCCTCTGCAAGTCATTATAACTAATGTACAGCAACAATATTAAAAAAAAGACTATATTTTTCCTTCTTGGACAACACTTTCTTTCCGTCTATGGTATCCTCATCGAACCATGTCAGGAACTATGATGTCTTTCTCAGCTTTCGAGGAGAAGACACTCGTCGCACCATCGTCAGCTATTTGTACCAAGCTCTTTGTCTCGAGGGTATCTTTACTTTCAGAGACGATCGGAGGCTCGAGGCAGGGGACAGCATTTCCGAGCAACTTATCAAAGCCATAAAAACTTCGTGGTTCGCTGTTGTAGTCATGTCAGAAAACTATGCTAACTCGAAATGGTGCTTGGAGGAGCTTCGACTGATAATGGAGCTTCACGGTGCCAATCATATTCAAGTGGTTCCCATGTTCTATAAAGTCGAACCTACGGACGTGAGAAACCAGACAGGAAGCTTCGCTGCTGCTTTTCAAAATTTTGAAGAACAAAATACGGCGCCGGAGAGGGTTTCCCAATGGAAAAGAGCTCTTAACCAAGTCGGTCATCTCTCAGGCTTTCATTCCATGTCATGGTAATCTTTCTTTATTTTTTCTAAAACTAGGGTCTTACATATTTTATTAGATTTAGCTAAGCTTCTTTTAACCATATTCCCTTTCTGAGAACAAATTTAATTGTTGAAAGTTGAATTCTTGTCAATTTTAAGAGATGTTGATGTAAAAAAGAAGACACCAAACTCATCGCTAAAAATAATACCATGGGCCATGGCAAAACAAGTAAAATGTCTTGAAAAAAAAGGCTCTTCCCTCTCGGAAAAAAAAATAGACGAAAGTAAGCTCCGGCCTGCCTCCACGGAGGCGGCTCCTTTCCCCTTCATCCTCTGTTTCCTTTTGCTATCCTCCTCCTCCTCCTCCTCTCTCAGCCCTGGTTAAAATGTTATCTTCTCTGAGTTATTTCGAGATTTTGTGTGCTCTGTTTTGCTCGACCGTGGCGGTTATCCGCGTCCTTTGGAGAGGCGGCGAGACTCACGGCCTATATGAGGAGAGGATAGTTGGCTTTTAAGACTGAAGGACTCGCCAGATCTGGTTTTGACTCATTGTCCGGTTGTGTATACCGCTGTTTTAGTGTGGTCTAAGTAGGTATGAAGAGACGTTTCTCTAAGTAGAAAAAAAATTAATTTTTCTTTTTTTTTTTTATTTTTTCAAAAAAATAAAAAAAAAATTTGGCGAATCATAGTGTGCCATGTGGCGAACCCGTGACGAACCGGGTTCACCACGACGAACCCACGCGCGCCGGGTTCATCACTGTTCCTCTCGAAAAACGTGTGAACCCTCCCTTAAAACCCCTAATGGGCATGCTCTTAAGGTTGTGGGAGGAATTCGAAAAGTACACCGACAAATAGTTTGGGTAGAGGGTAGGATATGTTTTAGTGCTTATTAGTAGATCTTGTTGGTTGTATGTTAGATTTAAATCTCTTAAGATTGTAATCAGGTAGGTATTCATATTTGGTTAGGGGTGGGTCATGATCCATGGGTTAATCCAACCCAAATTGACCAATTAACCCAAATGAATTGTTTATTTTTGATCCAATGGATTAATTGATTAACAGGTTAATGAATTAATAGATTAATGAGTTAACAAGTTAATGGGTCTATTAAGTTAGGTCAACCCTCACCCATTTAATTTTTAATTAAACTCAAAATTTAATAACAAACCCATTAACTTCAAATTAAAGTTGTCCAATTGGAGATCACGTTTTCCCGCCAAAACCGCAAAATCACGTTTTCCCGTCAAATCTGTCAAATTACGTTTTCCCACAAAAACCGCAAAACCACGTTTTCTCGCCAAAACCACAAAATACATTTTCGCGCTAAAATCGCAAAATCACATTTTTCCGCTAAAACCGCAAAACCACGTTTTTCCGCCAAAACCGCAAAACCACGTTTTCCCGCCAAAACCGCAAAACCACGTTTTCCGCCAAAACCGCAAAACCACGTTTTCCCGCCAAAACCACAAAATACATTTTCCCGCTAAAATCGCAAAATCACATTTTTCCGCTAAAACCGCAAAACCACGTTTTTCCGCCAAAACCGCAAAACCACGTTTTCCCGCCAAAACCGCAAAACCACGTTTTTCCGCCAAAACCGCAAAACCACGTTTTCCCGCCAAAACCACGTTTTCCCGCAAAAACCACAAAATCACGTTTGCCCGCCATATCCGCAAAATCACGTTTTCCCGCCAAAACCGCAAAATCCCGTTTTCTCGACAAAATCGCAAAATTATGTTTTCCCGCCAAAACCGCGAAATTACGTTTTTTCACCAAAACCGTAAATTACGTTTTCCCGCCAAATCTGCGAAATCACATTTTCCCATAACCCATTAAAAGTCAACCCATTTGGATTATGGGTTGGGTTTATAATCATAATTTGCTAATGAAAAATTGCTGCTGAATTTAAAAATAAAAAGAAGAAGCTCAACAACTCACTCTAATCATAATCACATTACAGTAAAACCTCTATAAATTAATAATGTTGGGACTTTGAAATTTTATTAATTTAAAGAGATACTAATTTACAAAAGTTTGCTTATTTAGATTTTTTTTTATTTTTCCAATTTTATTTTTAAATTAAAAAAATATTTGAATTTAGCGTATGTACCTTATTTAAATTTTAGTATTTTGACTTGTATATTCTTTTATTATCTTATTTAGTGTATATTTTTATGTTTCATAGAATTATTACGTGGTTTTCGATATAATTTGACTAAATATTATCAAAATATAATGAAATGTTAAAAAAATAAAACTATTTTCACTGGGACTATACATATTATTAATATATGATTATAATGGGACTATATATTTACATGGAAGTTTTTAAAATATTATTTTCTTATTATTTTATCGATTTGTGTCATATTTTACACCGTCCCAAATTGGGACCGGTAAAATTTATTAATTTATTGAATATTAATTTATATAGGTTCTACTGTACATTTCATATTTGACTTTGAATTTGTCTTCAAACTCCATTTTTCTCATCTAAAGTTCTCTCAGACATTTAATGAAACACTTTCAGGGTATTAAACATCCTAAGCTTAGAAACTAGGTGATCAATCAAGTTTCAGAAATAAGAACCATATGATAAATACCTAATCTTTTTTTTTTGTCACAGTATAAATACTTAATCTAACAACCCTAAATCAACTAAACTATGAAATCCCTCTGAAACTCTAAAACCCAATTGCACATCCACTCAAACAATTCAAAAGAAAAAGAGAAAGAAGATGAATAGATAAAATATATATAGACAAAAACTGGGGTTTAGAATAGTTCTCCAAAGATAGAATACGAATATGTCTCTGAAAAACTCTAAAACCTAAAAGTATGATGAAAACTATGATAGGTCTCAAAATGGATGAAAAACAAAAGATATAGGGTATGATTGGTAAGTGCTGTGATTTTATTTTTTGGATGTAGAATTATAGCTGTAAATTTTTCTTTAGCTTTAGATTTTTAGTTTTTAAGAGTCATTAGATTTAGGCTGTAGATATTTGTCTCTCCACAGCAATTATAATCTACTCTATTAAAATAGAGTCATTCTTTTTATCTACTGATACAAGTTGTCATTTAAATTTGGACCCTTTCTAAAATGTTACAAATAATATAAGTCATATAATTGATTGAACCATATTACTTAAATTAAACCAACACAATTAATGTAAAAAGACGACATTAATGTAAACTACCTTCAAAATACGGCAGGTATCTATATGTATACTAAAAACACATATTTTCTCCTACAAATATGGAATGTTCTAAAAGAATATATATCATCAAAATATAGAGTATGGAAATCTACTAATTATACTTAAATTAAACCAGTGGTTATTTATGAAATATAGTCATGGGCATACTTTTATTTTTTGAACTAATTATATAGTTTGTTTTTTTGGCTTAGTATTAAGAAAAAACTCCAAAAACATTGAATAAACTTTTCACCTTAAAATATCAAAAAATCAATTATTATTTTCAGACCTAAAAGGTATTTAATATTTTTAACAAAACAA